AGTGCAGAGCAGAAAGTGTAGGATATAAAGTGCAGCGCAGAAAGTGTAGGGCTGAAAATGTAATGCAAAAAGAACAGAGCAGAAAGTGCAGTACAAAAAGTGTAGAAACTCGGAACATTGGTTCTGGATTGAATCCTTAGAACCAGTAAAACTAGTTTAGAATCAATTTGGAATCAATTTTAGTTGAATTACGAACAGAATACCATATAGTGCATACATGCAGTTCCCAGCAAACTCTATACCTCTTTGTTCCGAATTTGTAGTTTTTGTTGAGTCGTTAAAATTATTAGGATCGCCCCGGAACCGATTCTAATTAAACAAAGACCTGTAATGACATTTATTCGACTAACCTGCTCTCGCTCTAGATACCTTCCGTGATTCCAAAAGCAAAAAACTTGAAATTTGCTTTTCCAACACCTCAAAAACTGTTCCATAAACGGTTTCGAAACCACTCTGTCTGTATACGCGAATTTCGTATTTCACCCTTAGATTTCACCCAAAAAAATCTGATTTTTCGCAGAATCATGCGTTAAACCGTAGGTTTTCTGTCGTTTTTAAACAAACCTAAAGTTTAATTGGCTTAACGCTCGGTGGAACGAGCAGAGCGATCACGGAGTAACGTAACCCAGGAGTGCACCGTGTCAAGCCAAATAAATTCGTGCAAAAGTATCTATCGAAGTACCTTAGAAGTTATTGCCACAGTGTACAGAGCAGAAAGTGCAGGGCAAAAGATGCAGGACAGAAAATGGCTGAAAGTAGAGCACAAAAAAAAAAAAAAAACAGAACAGAAAGTACAGTTCAAAAAGTGTCAAGCAACTAGAACAAAACAGAAAGTGCAGTGCACAATTCGAATCAATTTGAAAGTGCAGGACTGAAAATGTGGCACTGAAAGTGTAGAGCAGAAAGTGTAAGATATAAAATGCAGCGCAGAAAGTGCAGGGCTGAAAATGTAAAAAGAACAGAGCAGAAAGTGCAGTACAAAAAGTGTAGAAACTCGGAACATTGGTTCTGGATTGAATCCTTAGAACCAGTAAAACTAGTTTAGAATCAATTTGGAACCAATTTTAGTTGAACTACGAACAGAATACCATATAGTGCATACATGCAGTTCCCAGCAAACTCTATACCTCTTTGTTCCGAATTTGTAGTTTTTGTTGAGTCGTTAGAATTATTAGGATCACCCCGGAACCGATTCTAATTAAACAAAGACCTGTAATGACATTTATTCGACTAACCTGCTCTCGCTCTAGATAGCTTCCGTGATTCCAAAAGCAAAAAACTTGAAATTTGCTTTTCCAACACCTCAAAAACTGTTCCATAAACGGTTTCGAAACCACTCTGTCTGTATACGCGAATTTCGTATTTCACCCTTAGATTTCACCCAAAAAAATCTGATTTTTCGCAGAATCATGCGTTAAACCGTAGGTTTTCTGTCGTTTTTAAACAAACCTAAAGTTTAATTGGCTTAACGCTCGGTGGAACGAGCAGAGCGATCACGGAGTAACGTAACCCAGGAGTGCACCGTGTCAAGCCAAATAAATTCGTGCAAAAGTATCTATCGAAGTACCTTAGAAGTTATTGCCACAGTGTACAGAGCAGAAAGTGCAGGGCAAAAGATGCAGGACCGAAAATGGCTGAAAGTAGAGCACAAAAAAAAAACAAAACAGAAAGTACAATTCAAAAAGTGTCAAGTAACTAGAACAAAACAGAAAGTGCAGTGCACAATTCGAATCAATTTGAAAATATAGGACGGAAAGTGTAGTACTGAAAGTGCAGAGCAGAAAGTGTAGGATATAAAGTGCAGCGCAGAAAGTGTAGGGCTGAAAATGTAATGCAAAAAGAACAGAGCAGAAAGTGCAGTACAAAAAGTGTAGAAACTCGGAACATTGGTTCTGGATTGAATCCTTAGAACCAGTAAAACTAGTTTAGAATCAATTTGGAACCAATTTTAGTTGAATTACGAACAGAATACCATATAGTGCATACATGCAGTTCCCAGCAAAAGCCTAGTACTCATAACTGCGAAGTTCGCATTTTTTTGACATTGCGTTGAAAATCTGACGTTTTATGCGTGTATCAAACGTCAAATTGTCGAAGCAATGTCAAAAAAATGCGAATTTCGCAGTTATGAGTACTAGGCTAAACTCTATACCTCTTTGTTCCGAATTTGTAGTTTTTGTTGAGTCGTTAGAATTATTAGGATCGCCCCGGAACCGATTCTAATTAAACAAAGACCTGTAATGACATTTATTCGACTAACCTGCTCTCGCTCTAAATACCTTCCGTGATTCCAAAAGCAAAAAACTTGAAATTTGTTTTTCCAACACCTCAAAAACTGTTCCATAAACGGTTTCGAAACCACTCTGTCTGTATACGCGAATTTCGTATTTCACCCTTAGATTTCACCCAAAAAAATCTGATTTTTCGCAGAATCATGCGTTAAACCGTAGGTTTTCTGTCGTTTTTAAACAAACCTAAAGTTTAATTGGCTTAACGCTCGGTGGAACGAGCAGAGCGATCACGGAGTAACGTAACCCAGGAGTGCACCGTGTCAAGCCAAATAAATTCGTGCAAAGGTATCTATCGAAGTACCTTAGAAGTTATTGCCACAGTGTACAGAGCAGAAAGTGCAGGGCAAAAGATGCAGGACAAAAAATGGCTGAAAGTAGAGCACAAAAAAAAAACAAAACAGAAAGTACAGTTCAAAAAGTGTCAAGCAACTAGAACAAAACAGAAAGTGCAGTGCACAATTCGAATCAATTTGAAAATATAGGACGGAAAGTGTAGTACTGAAAGTGCAGAGCAGAAAGTGTAGGATATAAAGTGCAGCGCAGAAAGTGTAGGGCTGAAAATGTAATGCAAAAAGAACAGAGCAGAAAGTGCAGTACAAAAAGTGTAGAAACTCGGAACATTGGTTCTGGATTGAATCCTTAGAACCAGTAAAACTAGTTTAGAATCAATTTGGAACCAATTTTAGTTGAACTACGAACAGAATACCATATAGTGCATACATGCAGTTCCCAGCAAACTCTATACCTCTTTGTTCCGAATTTGTAGTTTTTGTTGAGTCGTTAGAATTATTAGGATCACCCCGGAACCGATTCTAATTAAACAAAGACCTGTAATGACATTTATTCGACTAACCTGCTCTCGCTCTAGATACCTTCCGTGATTCCAAAAGCAAAAAACTTGAAATTTGCTTTTCCAACACCTCAAAAACTGTTCCATAAACGGTTTCGAAACCACTCTGTCTGTATACGCGAATTTCGTATTTCACCCTTAGATTTCACCCAAAAAAATCTGATTTTTCGCAGAATCATGCGTTAAACCGTAGGTTTTCTGTCGTTTTTAAACAAACCTAAAGTTTAATTGGCTTAACGCTCGGTGGAACGAGCAGAGCGATCACGGAGTAACGTAACCCAGGAGTGCACCGTGTCAAGCCAAATAAATTCGTGCAAAGGTATCTATCGAAGTACCTTAGAAGTTATTGCCACAGTGTACAGAGCAGAAAGTGCAGGGCAAAAGATGCAGGACAGAAAATGGCTGAAAGTAGAGCACAAAAAAAAAAAAAAAAACAGAACAGAAAGTACAGTTCAAAAAGTGTCAAGCAACTAGAACAAAACAGAAAGTGCAGTGCACAATTCGAATCAATTTGAAAGTGCAGGACTGAAAATGTGGGACTGAAAGTGTAGAGCAGAAAGTGTAAGATATAAAATGCAGCGCAGAAAGTGCAGGGCTGAAAATGTAAAAAGAACAGAGCAGAAAGTGCAGTACAAAAAGTGTAGAAACTCGGAACATTGGTTCTGGATTGAATCCTTAGAACCAGTAAAACTAGTTTAGAATCAATTTGGAACCAATTTTAGTTGAACTACGAACAGAATACCATATAGTGCATACATGCAGTTCCCAGCAAACTCTATACCTCTTTGTTCCGAATTTGTAGTTTTTGTTGAGTCGTTAAAATTATTAGGATCGCCCCGGAACCGATTCTAATTAAACAAAGACCTGTAATGACATTTATTCGACTAACCTGCTCTCGCTCTAGATACCTTCCGTGATTCCAAAAGCAAAAAACTTGAAATTTGCTTTTCCAACACCTCAAAAACTGTTCCATAAACGGTTTCGAAACCACTCTGTCTGTATACGCGAATTTCGTATTTCACCCTTAGATTTCACCCAAAAAAATCTGATTTTTCGCAGAATCATGCGTTAAACCGTAGGTTTTCTGTCGTTTTTAAACAAACCTAAAGTTTAATTGGCTTAACGCTCGGTGGAACGAGCAGAGCGATCACGGAGTAACGTAACCCAGGAGTGCACCGTGTCAAGCCAAATAAATTCGTGCAAAAGTATCTATCGAAGTACCTTAGAAGTTATTGCCACAGTGTACAGAGCAGAAAGTGCAGGGCAAAAGATGCAGGACAGAAAATGGCTGAAAGTAGAGCACAAAAAAAAAAAAAAAAACAGAACAGAAAGTACAGTTCAAAAAGTGTCAAGCAACTAGAACAAAACAGAAAGTGCAGTGCACAATTCGAATCAATTTGAAAGTGCAGGACTGAAAATGTGGGACTGAAAGTGTAGAGCAGAAAGTGTAAGATATAAAATGCAGCGCAGAAAGTGCAGGGCTGAAAATGTAAAAAGAACAGAGCAGAAAGTGCAGTACAAAAAGTGTAGAAACTCGGAACATTGGTTCTGGATTGAATCCTTAGAACCAGTAAAACTAGTTTAGAATCAATTTGGAACCAATTTAAGTTGAACTACGAACAGAATACTATATAGTTCCGGATCAGTTTTGAATTTTCAAAGTGAAGGAATCTATTACTCTATTGTTTTGGATGCTCTGAATTTGAAATAAAAACTGATTGAGTGCAATGAACTAGAATATGAAAGTTGCCCTGAGTGCAGAAAGACAAATTTCTTTGACGTTGGCACCAGTGTCTTGTCAAGTTGTCAAAAATCATCGTTCGAGTTCGGGTAAAAACTAAAAACACGAAGTGCAACGGGATCTCGTCGAAAAAGACGGACGACGGGTTGGTTTCCTTTCAATTTTTCACCCAAAAATCCACTTTCCCAGCGGAAAATCGACGCAAAAACACGATTTCCCTTTAGTTTCATGTGCGAAAAAACCAAATCCATCGCGATTACAGCTCTAGCAAGGATTTAAATCAACAAAAAAAAAAAAAAAGGTTAGTCATATTATTATGTTTTCCTTGTTGTGTGACTCGAAAATGCGTCATTATCTTTACGATTATTTTTTTCTGCCTAATCTCTTTTGTTATTGAGTATTAAAATTTAATTGAAACCTGTTGAAATTAGAGGAAAATCAATTTTTAGTAGAAGGCAAAAAGGAGGATCCTACGCCCTTGAAATCCGCCCCCCTCTTTGTGTTTTGTGTGTGTGTTTATTTTTTGTTAATTTAATTTAATTGTTCATTTGAATAAATTATACTTTAATTGAGAAATCAATTGATATTCATTGAAGAGGATAATAATAATTGTGAGAAACTTTCTCCTATACAGGGTGACACAGACACACAAATTTAATTAGCACTTATTTATAGATTAGAAGTATTCTACTTTAATCTTTATTTAATTGCAATCAAATACTTCAAATGTAGGAATTAAAATCAAAATTTAAGGTCAATATTAATTGAGAATATCAAGATTTCTTATATCAAATTTCACACTTTATAAATAATCAAATAGTTTTATCATTAATAATCGGACTTTAACCTTGCAACACAACCTTGTGCGAAATTGTTGAGGTATCAATATTCAGTTTGTTTTAGTAAATAATTATTGTAATTTTAATTATTGGTAATTAGATTTTTGATTTCAAACTGAAATATTCACATTTTTCTTCTTTTTTTTTTTTGTAGATTTTGCTCTTCTTTTTTTTCTATAGTTTTTGTGTGCAACAGAATTTCCTCAAAAAACTTGAAAGTAAAAAAGAAAACGCCTATTAATAAACATGGGTTTTGCAACATTATTGATTAACATTACTCATAATATCAATATTTGTTGTGATTTTAATAAAAAGAGTATCAGAAGAGCATCTATAATGACGTCACACTCATATGTAATTTGACAAATCTGTAGCCAAATGAAACTTAGGCTATCCTTTTTTTGTTTTGAGTTTTAATTATTTATTAATAATTGTAGAATTTTGAATTTGACGCTTATTTATGGTCAATTTGATATTTGACAAATGATGTTAGAGGTAGCGAAGTAGGCAATTCAAATCAACTGATAATTCAAAATGGTGACGAGGTCAAAACAAACTTGACATTCTTGACGACCATGAAGGTGCTTTCACATTCAATTCCAATTGATTACAATTTGAATGGGAATTGAATGTAAACATGCCTTTACGGTTGTCAGGTGTGTTATTCCCACGGCGCCATATTGAATTGGAAGAATGTCAAATTGTGTGTAATATCCTTGTGCTTAGAGATTATGTGAGTTAGGTGAAGTTGCATTGTGACCTGTTAGAAACTTTTATATGGATTTTAGTAACAGAAGTTTTAGTAAAGAAAATATAATAAAATTTTATTTCGTTAGACCCATTCCCACATAATAAATTTCTTAATTGTTTCAAGTTATCATAATTTGCATATTTACACCTTGATGTTCAAAAAAAAGTAACTATTGGCAACACTGTCTTTTTGCAGGAGATCAATTTGACATTTGCATACAATGTATTTTGAAGCTTTTTTCATTTATTTCTAATTTCAAATTTTCTATTGAAAATTCAAATCAAATTAATTTATTATTTTTAAGTGAAACAATGTTGCTAGATTTCTTGCTAGAAAAATGTATAGATTTTTGACAATTTAGCATAAAAATTAACTATTGGCAACACTGTTTTTTTGCAGGAGATTGTTTTGACATTTGCATATGACATATTTTTAAGCTTTTTTCGTTTATCTTTAATTCCAAATTTTTCCTTAAAAATTCAAACCAAATTAATTTATTATTTTCAACTAAAACAATGTTGCCAGATTTGTTGCTAGAAAAATGTATAGATTTTTGACAATTTTCCAAAAAAATTTATTATTGGCAACAGTGTTGTTTTGCAAGAAATCAATTTGACATTTGCATATGACATATGTATTTTGAAGCTTTTTTCATTTATTTTTAATATCAAATTTTCCATTAAAAATCCAAACCAAATTAATTTATTATTTTTGAGTAAAACAATGTTGCCAGATTTCTTGCTAAAAAAATTTATAAATTATTGACAATTTAGCAAGAAAATTAATAATTGGCAACACTGTCTTTTTGCAGGAGATCGGTTTGACATTTTTATTTGTAAATTTTCCATTCATTAAATAAATCCAAACTAATCAATTTTAAGTGAAACAATGTTGCTAGTTTTTCTTGTTATAAAATATTTATATAGAATTTTGACAATTCATTAACAAGAGTAATTGTTGGCAACACTGTATTTTTCCAGTTTATTCAAGTACTTTAAATTTCAAGTTTTTCAATAAATAAACCCAAATTTTAATTTATCAATTACAAATAAAACAATGTTGCCAAATTTTCCGCTGGAAAATATTTAGAATTTTGAAAATTGTCAAAAAAAAGTAACTGTTGGCAACACTGTTTTTTTTTCGAAGAATTCGGCTTATTAACATTTCCGTTTGACGTGTTTTTGAGCTTCTAATTAAATTTTCCATCAAACAAATTCAAACCAAATTAATTTATCATTTTCAAGTAAAACAACGTTGCCAGATTTTGTTGTTTAAAAAATGAGTTTTTGACCATTTCGCCGCAGTCATAATACAACAAACGTCAAAAAACTGACGTTTCAAAGTAGGCCTTGTTTGATGACGTGTTGACGATAATAATTTGGATTTAATTCCCATTAAATTGAAAATGCAGGAACCCTAGCACAAACGTCAAAAAAAAAAAAAAACTTGACGTTTCACAAAGTAGGCCTTGTATAATTTTTGACAATTAATTCAAAATGGCGTATTTTTGTAACAAATTTGGAAAAAACTGGATAAAAAAAAGTGATTTTTGGATCCTTTATTGAAATATCAAAATTACACTTGTTGCTACAAAAAAATCGTGTTGTTACAATTTTTAAAATTCGTATTTAAGGGCCGGTAATAGCAACAAATTGAAAAATATATGTTGCTACAATTTTTAAATTTCGCATTCAGGAGCCGGTAGTGGCAACAAACTGCAAAATCCGTGTTGCTACATAGAAATGTCAAAATTACACTTGTTGCTATAAAAAAATTGTATTGCTACAATTTTTAAATTCCGTCTTTTAGGGCTGGTAATAGCAGCAAATTGAAAAATATATGTAGCTACATCGAAATGTCGAAATAACACTTGTTGCTACAAAGAAAATCATGTTGCTACAATTTTTAAATCCCGCTTCCAAAAGCCTATAATAGCAACAAATTGCAAAAATCCATGTTACTACATCGAAATGTCAAATTACATTTGTTGGTACAAAAAAATTGTGTTGCTATAAATTTCAAATTTTGAATTCAAAAGTCGTTAATAATTATAAATTGAGAAATATATGTTACTACATGAAAATGACGAAATTACACTTGTTGCTACAAAAAAATTCGAGTTGCTACAGTTTTCAAATTTCGCCTCCAAGAGCCAGTAATAGCAACAAATTGCAAAATCCGTGTTGCTATTTCAAAATATCAAAATTACACTTGTTGCTACAAAAAGATTCGTGTTGCTATAATTTTAAAATTTCGTCTGTAGAGCCGGTAATAGCAACAAATTGAAAAATATATGTTGCTGCATTGAAATGTCGAAATTACACTCGTTGCTACAAAAAAAAATTATGTTGTTACAATTTTTAAATTTCGTTTTCAAGAGCCGGTAATAGCAACAAATTGCAAAATCTGTGTTACCACATCAAAATGTCACAATTACACTTATTGCTATAAAAAAATTGTGTTGCTACAATTTTTAAATTTCGTCTCAAAGGGCCGGTAATAGCAGCAAATTGAAAAATATATGTTGCTACATCGAAATGTCAAAATAACACTTGTTACTACTAAAAAATCATGTTACAATTTTTAAATTTCGCCTCCAAGAGCCGGTAATAGCAACAAATTGCAAAATCCGTGTTGCTACATCGAAATGTCGAAATTATACTTGCTGCTATAAAAAATCATGTTGCTACATTTTTTAAATTTCGTCTGTAAGGGCCGGTAATAGCAACAAATTGAAAAATATATGTTGCTACATCGAAATGTCGAAATAACACTTGTTGCTACAAAAAAAATCATGTTGCTACAATTTTTAAATTTCGCCTTCAAGAGCCGGTAATAGCAACAAATTGCAAAGTCCGTGTTACCACATCGAAATGTCAAAATTACATTTGTTGCTATAAAAAAATCGTGTTGCTACAATTTTTAAATTCCGTCTTCAAGGGCCGGTAATAGCAACAAATTGAAAAATATATGTTTCTACATCGAAATGTCGAAATAACACTTGTTGCTACAAAAAAATCATGTTGCTACAATTTTTAAATTTCGCCTTCAAGAGCCGATAATGGCAACAAATTGCAAAGTCCGTGTTGCTACATCGAAATGTCGAAATTACACTTGTTGCTACAAAAAATTGTGTTGCTACAAACTTCAATTTTCGAATTTAAAAGCCGTTAATAACTACAAATTTAAAAATATGTGTTGCTACATCAAAATGACAAAATTACATTTTTTGTTACAGAAAAATTCGTGTTGCTTCAATTTTTAAATTTCGCTTCCAAGAGCCGGTAATAGCAACAAATTGCAAAATCCGTGTTGTTATATTGAAATGTCACAATTACATTTGTTGCTATAAAAAAAATCATGTTGCTACAATTTTTAAATTTCGTCTTCAAGGGCCGGTAATAGCAACAAATTGCAAAGTCCGTGTTGCTACATCGAAATGTCGAAGTTACACTTGTTGCTACAAAAAATTGTGTTGCTACAAACTGCAAATTTTGAATTCAAAAGCCGTTAATAATTACAAATTGAAAATAATGCCTGTTGCTCAATTGTCAAAATCAATATTTTTTAACAAGAAAATTTGGCAACACTGTTTTACTCTAAAATGGTTAAATTAGTTAATTTAAGTTTATTTTATGGAAAATTTGAAATTAAAAATCAATGAAAAAAGCTTCAAAATAAGTCATATGCTAATGTCAAACCGATCTCCTGCAAAAAAAAACAGTGTTGCCAATAATTAATTTTCTTGCTACAATTGTCAAAAATCTATACATTTTTCTAGCAAGAAATCTGGCAACATTGTTTCACTTAAAAATGATAAATTAATTTGGTTTGAATTTTTAATGGAAAATTTTAAATTGAAAATAAATGAAAAAAGCTTTAAAATACATCATATGCAAATATCAAACCGATCTCCTGCAAAAAGACAGCGTTGCCAATGCTTAATTTTTTTGAAAAATTGTCTAGCTTAATTTTCATTTTAGAACTTTTCTAAGTTTAATTTTATTTCTGGTCAGAAATAGAATTTTCCGATGTTGCCATGTTTAAAATAAGAAGAAATAGTAGAGGCCATATTAAATAATTTCAACCTAACTCATTAAATAAATATCCCAAGTTTTATCATTATTTGATAAGAATACTGGTTTATTGATATTTTATTGTTATCATATTTGAAAAATTAGGCAACACTGTTTTTTTTTTTGGTTAAATTTTTAATTAAGTTGGCAATCCTCATAGAATGTCCTCCTAATTGTCTTTATCACTCTTGTACGTTTTCCAATGTTGCCATTTTTAAAGTAAATATTTAGGAAAAATATTAGAGGTCATTGTAAAGGTTATTTCTAATGTTTTAAATTTCGCGCCAATTCTAAATGTCAAGTTAATGGAAAAGAAAGTGGCTGGCAACGTGGCAACGCGACCGCGTTTTGGTGGCGAAGTAACTTGACGTTTGAAGTTAACAGGTTTTTTTTTTTTTAAACATTTAGTGCAACAAAAATGTATTTCTATCTTTTTCTTTCACAGGCTGAGAGAAAGGGATGGAAATACACTCAGTGCACATTAAATTTTCAAAACGGAGAAGCCATTAGATGCGTATTTTTTGAAAAAAAAACTAGGCAACCCTGTTTTGTGAAAAGTTGGTAATCCTGATAGAATGTTTTCCTATTTGTCTGTCTCTTTTTATTTGGTTAATTCTTCAGTTTGTCTTTATTGTTCTTATATGTTTTCCAACATTGCTAGTTGCATAATTTAAAATAATTCGGACTTTTCCAAAAATTTCTTTTTCTATTCAGTTTATACGTTATATGGAAATGACAAGTTGATGTCCTGGAAAAACACAGTGTTGCCAACAGTTATTTTCTATTATTGAATTGTCAAAAATCTATATATTTTCTAACAACAAAATCTGGCAGCATTGTTTTACTTGGATTTATTAAATGGAGAAATTTAAATTTCAAAATAAATAGGAGAAGCTTGAAAGCATGTGTCAAAATTGTCAAGCCAATCTCCTGGAAAAAGACAATGTTGCCAATAATGCCAAAAGTTACTTTTGTTGCTAAATTGTCAAATACCTATATATTTTCTAGCAAGAAAATCTGGCAACATTGTTTGATAAGTTCAGTAAGTTTGGATTTATTTAATGGAAAATATAAGAGTCAAAGTAAATAAAAAAAATTCAAAAACTTGCAAACGAAAATGTCAATCCGATCTCCTCGAAAAAAAAAGACAATGTTGCCAATAGTTACTTTTTTTGCTAAATAATAGGTTGTGTCACCCTGTAAAGCACCTACTCAGTACAATTCTTTATTTTATTCTTTCTCTTTTTTTTTGTTCCATATACAGTCATATATCTTGCGCACTTCAATATTCTATGTACCAAAAATGTTAGTACTTCTCTAACAAGTGGTACCAATTATTCACAAAGTGACTTCGTTACAACCCTGTTTTTTTTGTGCGCTCCAGAACAATAAATATGGCGAACAGGTCAGGCGCGGCCCAACGACCCAACGGTCAGACCCAAGGCAAAATCTGCCAGTTCAAGCTGGTACTACTGGGCGAAAGCGCTGTCGGCAAATCCAGCCTGGTACTACGGTTTGTCAAAGGCCAATTCCACGAGTACCAAGAAAGTACCATCGGAGCCGCCTTTTTGACGCAAACCATCTGTCTAGACGACACGACTGTCAAATTTGAAATATGGGACACTGCCGGCCAAGAACGGTAACTGTCATTATATATGGGTGTGTTCCGTTTTGAACCTTGGTTATGTCGTCAAATATCACGTCATTATTTCTACTTGATTCCTGTCAGTGTCAGTGACGTTGAGCAGGTTTGAAAACGGAACACACTCTAAATACTGAAATAGAGTTAAACGTCAAATGTCAATTTAGGTATCACAGTTTGGCGCCAATGTACTACAGAGGAGCCCAAGCGGCCATTGTTGTTTATGACATCACAAACCAAGACACTTTTGGTAGAGCGAAAACGTGGGTCAAAGAATTACAACGTCAAGCAAGTCCCAACATCGTCATAGCCCTTGCTGGTAACAAACAAGATTTGGCCAACAAACGAATGGTTGAGTACGAGGAAGCGCAAACATATGCAGACGAAAATGGGCTTTTATTCATGGAAACTTCAGCGAAAACTGCAATGAATGTCAACGATATCTTTTTGGCAATTGGTGAGTAACTGATACAAAACTATAAATCATTGACTGAGTAATTTTTTAGCTAAAAAATTGCCAAAAAACGAACAAAACGCGGGTCAAACTGGCAACAACGCGCAAGGCAGGCGACTGACAGAGGGCGACACCGGTCCGAAAACGGCGGGAAACTGTTGCAAGTGATGACGTCATCGTCGCAGTGGAGTGCGTATTTGTTCGGACTGTACTTTAGTGATATTGAGAATAGTAAGAGAAAAAATCGCGTCGTGTTGTTTTTTTTTTCCCCCACCACAATTATTTAATTTAATCAATTGATGGCATTTATAGTTTTCTTGATTGATATTCAAATTATTTTTTTTTCTATTGTGATTTAATCATTTAAAAAATAGGGTTATGTAAAAAGCAATTCTATAGTAGCCGGAGAAAAAAAAAAATAGGTGTGTCTGTTTTAATATAAATAAATAAAAAAAAATCTTTATTTAATTTTTTAAGTACGCCTCTGGATTGGTGGTTTGTGCACTACTACACTACTGCCATCTAGTGAGAGAAAAAATAAGTAGAAAACCACTTTATGCCTCACATATACAGTGTGAACCAAAAACAATTAAAAAAAAGATTCAAATCCACCACCCACAAGCCGTATATAATAATTTATATAATTATAGTTTATTCTTTATCGATAATAAAATAATATTAGTTAGGTTTTAAAAATTAGAGGTGATTGTACAGAATTTTAAAATATTCCATTATACGGTAAACACATTATAATGTAAACACATTATAATTATTATTGTGTATATTTTTTTATTTGCGACAGAAAGGCCTGTCAAATATTGAAGTCTTCTGTCAAATTTAAAAAAAAAAAATATATTAAGAGCATAAAGCTTCTAATTATTATTATTGTAAATTTTTTTTTTTTAGGTTATATTATTATTTTATTGTAATTCTTTAAAATTTAATAGAATAATTATTAATTATTATGAAATGGACGCCTCTGGTCAAGCGTTTGTTTAAGTTGTATTATAATTGAATATATTATAAATATGAATTTTATGAGTTTTTGTTTTATTAGGTTTGTGACAGATGTCAATGTCATTTGTCTTAAATGACATAAAATGCATTGTTTATCTGTCAAAGCAACTGGCTAATCATTAGATTGAAAACCCAGGGTTTTTGGAAAACTTGAAACATTGTTGAGACTTCAAAGTTAATAAGTTATCTGATAATGGGAAACAGATGACGTCATCTAGGATGCTTAATGGAGATTTGCATTATGTTTAGTGTTTGGTTTAGACACCCCTGATGACGTCGTAGAAGTTATTAGGCAACCTACCTCTTTCAAACAACCTTGTTGAGGTTGAGACTGCAGATTATGGTGAGAATTTTTATCAACGACAGTTGACAGATAAACTATACATCATTTGTCAACCAATTATTAACGTTTAATGTATAGTTTTTCGAAATAAAAACTTCCTTAGGCGGTTTTAAGGCAAAAAAATGTAATTGCCTATAAAAGGTTGTCTGGTAATGACAAACAGATGACGTCATCAGGTGATTCTTATGGAGATTTGCATCACAGTTTTTTGCATTATGTTTAGGCATATAGATGACGTCATAAAAATTATCATGCAACCTCCCTCTTTTAAACAAACTTGATCTAAACCACAAATGCCAGGATTCAATATAGCGGCAACAGTCAAGCATTTGGAACGTTTCTTTATTTAACTTACGTATTTGATCATTTTAGGCCCGGTTCATTCATTTTCAGATAAACTTACTGGTAAGTATCTGCAAGATAAATTCACCGTTTTTTAATTCTATTGGTCAGCGGATAACTGGCCGACCATTGGGATTAAAGATTGCTTTATCCGTCAGATAGCATACTTAACAGTTTATCAGAAGGTGAATAAACAACAGGCCCTTAATTGGGCAATTCAAGCCAGCTAATCATTCAAGATGGCAACGCGGGCATAACAATCTCAACGACTGTGAAGATGCCTTTACATTCAATTATAGTTGATTGCAATCTGGATGGAAATTCAATGTAAACGTACCTTTACAGTTGTCAGGTGTGTTCATTCAGATGGTGTGTTATTCCCACGGCGCCATATTGAGAGTACGTCAAATCGCTCTATTAGGCAATTCAATCCATCTGTCAAAAAGGAAAATTCAATGTGGCGTGGCGGCCAAGCAATTTTGTTTTGAATATGTTTTTATGCATATTTTAAATTATTTTGCATACAGTTTCGCTTACAACTTTGATTTTTATTATTTAATAACATATTTGTTGACTAGGTTCCTAAACTATTAATTCGGGCAGAAACTAGATATTTTTTTGTGTTTTTTGGCCCATGTGTGGCCGCCACGCCATCTTGAATGTCACGTGGTTTGAATTGCCTAATTCTTGATGTTTTCACTGTTGAAGACTGTACAGATTTTAGTGGTAAGATATTTTATCAATGACAGTTGACAGATGAAGAATACGTCATTCGTCAACCAATTGACGTTTATTGAATAATTTTTCTGTCAAATGTTAACGACCAGTCAATCGCTTGAAAACACATTTCCTTTTTGGAAAATTTAAAAAGTGTTGTTAAGACTTGAGACTGTATAAATTTTAGTGGTAAATTCTTTTATCAACGACAGTTGACAAATAAAGAATACGTCATTTGTCAACCAAATGATGTTTTATGTATAGTTTTTTGAAGTGAAAATATTTTTAGGTGCATTTAGAACAAACAAATTAATTGTTTGTAAAAGGTTGTCTGGTAATGGCAAACAGATAACAGATGACGTCGTCAGGTTGGTTCCTATGAAGATTTGCATAATGTGAAGGCATACAGATAACGTCATAAAAGTTATCAGGTAACCTTCCTCTTTTAAACAACCTTGATCCAAATCACCAATGCCTGGATTCAATATGGCGGCAATGATGTTTGTTTATTTAATCTAAAAGCGAATTCTATTGGTAGAACCAGTGCAGAAAATATATATTTTTATCTCTTTCCTATAGAAGCTGTTAGAAAAAGACACAAATACATTCAGTGCGCACTAAACCTTCCAATCCAATAGAATTCGCTATAAAAGTGTTTAATCGTTTTAATTAGGCAATTCGAATCAGCTGATAATTCAAAATGGCTACGTGGGTATAACAAACTTGACTATCATGAAGGTGCCTTTACATTTAATTCTAATTAATTGCAATCTGTACGGGAATTGAATGTAAACGTACCTTTATGGTTGTCAGGTGTGTTATTCCTACGACGCCATATTGATTTTGGAGAACGTCAAATTGTCCTATTTTTGAAGTTTTCACTGTTAACAATTTGTCAACCAATTGATGTTTAATGTATAGTTTTTCTGTGAAAGTTAACTACCGGACAATCGCTTGAAATCCCATGGTTTTCTGAAAAACTTGAAAAGTGTGGTTAAGATTTTAGTGGTAATTTTTTTTTATCATTGACAGTTGACATTTGTCAACCAATTTACGTTAGTTTTTCTGTCAAAGTGAACGACAAATCAAACGCGGGAAACTTGGAAAATGTGAAACATTGTTTAAATTGTACACATTTTAACGGTAAGAATTTTTATCAACGGCAATTGACAGATAATTTATACGTCATTTGTCAACTAATTGACGTTCATTGTATAGTTTTTTTTGTCAAAGTTAACAACAAATCAAACTCGGAAAACTTGGAGTATGGTAAGAGTAAGAATTTCCAATCAACGACAGTTGACAGATAAAGAATACGTCATTTGTCAACCAATTGACGTTTGATGTATAGTTTTTCTGTCAAAGTTAACCACAAAGCAAACTCGGAAAATGTAAAACACTTTGGCGTTTCCGACTAGATTTTGTGCGGAACTATTGGTGCAATTTTTTTTATTTTCATCTTTTTCTTCTACAGGTCGATTAAAAGGATGCAAATACACTCAGTGCGCATTGAATCTACCAATCGGAAACGCCATTAGATTGTTTAGAGATTGTGAAAAAATGAGAAATGTTTAGATTGTGCAGATTTAACTGATAAGAATTTTGTTTTAACAACAGTTGACAGATAAACTAAACTATACGTCATTTTGTCAACCAATTGATGTTTAATGTATTGTGTTTTTTTGAAGTAAAAACTTTCGAAAAGTGTGGTTAAGACTTGAGACTGTCTGTATAAATTTTAGTAGTAAATTCTTTTATCAACGACAGTTGACAGATAAGGAATATATCATTTGTCAACCAATTGACATTTACTGTATAGCTTTTCTGTCAAAGTTAACGACAAATCAAATGCGGAAAACTTGGAAAATCTGAAACATTGTTTAGACTGTGCAGATTTTAATGCTAGAATTTTCAATCAATGACAGTTGACAAATAAAGAATACGTCATTTGTCAATTAAGTGACATTTAATGTATAGTTTTTCTGTCAAAATTAACAACCGGATAATCGCTTGAAAACCTATGGTTTTTTGGAAAACTTGAAAAGTGTGGAAGACTTACGACTGTGCAGATTTTAGTGGTAATTTTATTTTATTACCGATACTTGACAGATAAAGAATACGTCATCTGTCATACAATTGACGTTTATTGTATAGTTTTTCTGTTAAAATTATCGACCGTTCAATCGCCTAAAATCCCATAAGTTCCGGTTTAACAAACCGCTCAAATTCTAGTGGTATCGATGACGTCACTATGTAATGTAGCCGGGTTAGGAAACGGTATGTCATTTCTCTAACCAGCTCGGCTATATAATTACATGCAAACTACAAATGCCAAAATTCAATATGGCGGCAATGGTCAAGCATTTGTGATGTTTCTTTATTTAACAATGGTATTTAACCTACATATGTGTGAAATCGTTTTAATTACGGCCATTTGCACCGCTATAACTTAAGAGATATTTAATCCAAGTGAAGCTTTGAATGTGCCTCTTGTAGAAATAAAAAATCACATTCAAAGCCTCACTTACATTAAATATCCCTTAAGTGATAGCCGTGCAAATGGCCATTAGGCAATTCGAATCAGCTGATAATTCAAGATGGCGGCGTGAGCATTAGAAACTTGACGAATATGAATGTACAGTCGTGAGCACAAAAAGTGGGACACCTGTTTTTTCTTATTGTAAAACGGGCTCACCAGCTATACCTAGAGCAATGACAGGGATTGTCATATTTGAAAAAACATTCATTGTAGAGAAAAGACTGATTTACCCAAAATAGCGAAAAATGACAAGACCTGTCAGTCGGGTGTCCCACTTTTTGTGCTCACGACTGTACCTTTACATTTGATTCTCATTCATTGCAAGCTGAATGAGAATTGAATGTAAACGTGCCTTTACGGTTGTCAGGTGTGTTATTTCCACGGCGCCATATTGAATTGACGTTTATTGTATAATTTTTTTTAGCGAAATTAACGATCGATCGATTGTTTGAAAACTCTCACTTCAAAATGATTCTAAAATGGCGTTTCCGGTTTTCAGTGGTAGAATATAGTGCAAAGAAAATGTAAGGTTTGTTTCATACTTTTGTTATTGAACACGTCATAACTTCAAAAAAAAGGGTTGTCGTAGATTAATTCATATGACACATTCAATTTTTTTGACAAATTAAAATGAATGACTTCTAACTTAAGAACCGACAACCGTTTTTGACGTCATTGATTTGTTTCAGTCAATTTCTATTCGTTAGAAAAGGAAGGCAAATTTTGTCAAAAGTATGAACCCTCATGAAACAAAGTTTATTTCCATCTTTTTCTTTCTCAAGCTAAGAGAAAAAAATAGAAATACACTTAGTTGGCATTAAACCCAAGGATGTTACACACCTATTACTACAGGATGGCCTATCCTCATAAGGCCTGTGTGTAACAAATCCCCCCCTTCCCTATCACCGCCTAATCATCAGTTGTGACGTAGGCAGCATGTTATTTCTCGTTTTGACGTGGACTGTTTAAACAGCTGATGACTTAGTTATGACGTCGGCAATGAATAGTGGCACCCCAATATGGCGGCGATTACTAAAAACGAGGCCGATAAGCACTCCTTAAAGTATGTATTCTCCTTGTATTAAACCTACCAATCGGAAACCCACAATGAAACCTCCAACTAAAAGTAAAACAATTTTTTTTCAAAAAACACAAATATAATTTTAGGTCAGTCTTTTCCTTTTAAAAAAATGGCACAAACGTTAGATTAAATAAAAATATAAGATATAAATACATAAATAATAAAATATAAAATGTCAATTTCCGGTTGTCATTATTTGTGCTTGCTCGTCCTCCTGTCAACATTCGAACAACACTTTCCGTCTGTCCAAGTCCTATTGGATTGCCTCATCTGATCCGTCAACTGTTCCAGAGCGTTGACACAATAATCTTCGTCGGAATCTAATTCTGAGTCCGTCTGAGTCTGCGAAAGAAATTCATCAAAAATTAGAACAGATTTATATTTTTCGATTCTCTGACATATGGCGCTACAATGGCAAAATTGTCATTTAATATTTTCCGCTAGGATTTTTGAATTTTGACAAATAATGTATAGGTTGGCAACTGTCAAAAAAAAAACTCGCCTTACGGGCTCGTAAATTATAAAAACTCGTAAATCATCCTCAACACAAAAAGACGCCATTTTGTATCGACTGTCAAAAATGGCCTACTTTGGCCGTCAAATCTTTTTGAATTATATTGACATTGACGTACGATTATTGAGAATTTTCAACAACAAAAAAACTAACCTGAAAATTCGTCGAGTACCATTCGCTACCCAGTCCGAAATCGGGACTCGAACGCGGACTGTCTTCGTAAAACGAAGTGGCGCCCCCTCGGCCTTGCGAACCCAAACTACAGGGCGATGCGCAAGTGGGCGCTTTTTTAGCTGCGCAGCACGCTTGCCTGTTGGCCCGACATTTGCATTTCGTTGGGCGATTTTCTATTGGCGGCAATGGCGGAATCGGACCTTGAATTTCTCTAAAGAAAAGTTTTTACAATAATTGACAAATCATATAGTAGGCCATCATGAGACACACAAAAACAAAAAAACCTACTTGTTTTCGCTATTAACAAAAAATTGCTGAGCAACAAACGAATTGATTCGTTTTTGCTCGAGCACCCACGCCCTGACGTTTTTTATGACGTTCCTACTTTCGGAGCATATTTCCTCTTTGTTGCTCTTTAGTTGCTCGATGTCGGCCTCGAGTTGTTTAAGCGAGTCGACACTCAATCTGAATAATTAAGTCATTCAAATTGTGACATTTCATTTGACACTTACCGTTTCTGTTTGTCAGCTGTCACGTTGTCACGTGACCTCAACTCGTTGATCAATTCTCGATTTTTGCGCATCAAGGCCTCTTTTTCCGCGCACAAATTTTTGATTTTAAACAAATTCTGATCGATTTGGTCTTTCATTGTTTTGATTTTGTCGTTGCAACAACACAGGGTGCAGTTGAGTTGGGTGAGTTCGGATTGCAATTGATCGTTCTAAAAAAAAATATTTTTTTTGACAAGTGACAACTGTGACAAGTGATAATTATATTTACCTCTTTTTTCAACAAATACTGTTTGTTCAGATAATTGCTGAGTTCGTTTTTCAGGTGGCTGATTTCTTCTTGGGCACAGGCCAATTGGACGCAATTTGAACTGTTTATTTCGTTGGCGCTTTTTTTGACGTCTGTCAATTGCATCGATCTCGTTTGTAATTCTTGACCCAATCGGTCGAGTTCTTTTTCCAATTGGTCGATTTTTTTGTTTTCCGATTGTAGTTGGGCCAGTTTTTGGTTTAGGTTGTCTTTTGATTGCTTCAAGTCGAGCATTTGGGCGTCTTTTTGCTGTAATTGGTCGGCTAAAAGTTGGTTTTGGTCTTGGGCGTCTTTCAGTTGAGTTTTCAAATCGGTCAGCTACAAGGAAATGTCATTTTATTGACAGTTGTGTGAGCATTCTAAAGGAGGGCTTGTCGATATGATATATCGATATGTCATTCGTTAAACGCAAATGTCAATAGGTTAGTTTGGGTGATCCTCTGCCAAGGATGATACACACATACATAATATACAAAATTGCTTATTGGCACTGTTTTTAGTAATCGCCGCCATATTAGTGTGTCACCATTTCTTACGTCATAACTAAGTCGTCCAGCTGTTTAAACAGCCTACTTTAAGGCGAGAAATAGCATGCTGCCTACGTCACAACTGGTGATTTGGCGTGGGGGGATTTGTGCCTTCTTCTAGATTTTCTATTGCTTGAAAAGGGTAAATTTTGTATTTTCGTAGTGTCTGAACAAAAAACATATACATAGATGTTTGACCGTTGCCGCCATATTAAATTTAGGTCTTGCCAGATTTTCATGCATCCGTTTGTCGGACGAAAGATGTCCGAAAAACATTCTATTCTGACATAATCGTAAAAAAATATGTCAAAATAGAAGATTTTTCGGACATATTTCGTCGGATAAACGGATGCATGAAAATCCACCCTAAGGCATCTGGTCGTTAAATTGCCTATCGTCAACTGAATTTCTAGGTTCCTAAAGTGAATAGGTTATCTGGCAATGGGAAACAGATGACGTCATCATCTGGGATGCCTAATGGAGATTTACATGATTTGCATTATGTTCAGGCACTTCAGGATGATGTCATAAAAGTTATCTGGGCAACCCAAGGATCCTTTAATCTGATAGGTTGCCTGGTAATGGGTAACTTGATGACGCATCTGAAGTGCCTTATGGAGATTTGCATTATGCTGAGGCATCCCAGATGACGTCATCAAGTCATCAGGCAACCTACTTGTCTCAAACAGCCTGTGAATATGAAAGATGTATTTAGAATTCAAACTTCCCGCTTTTAGAATTAGTTAAATTAGGGCCTGATTTTAAACCAGAAGAGCAAAATTGTAAAAAAAGAAGAAGCGTAGAGAGGTGACTGGTAACATTTGATTTTTTGTATTGACAGCGACTGGATTCGTTAATTGCATCTGCGAGCAAAAAGATCAAATTTTTCCACGAGTCAAATCATGTGATATCTGTCAAATTTTGCTCATTTTACTCATAGATGCAGTTACTGAACCCAGCCAGCGTTTCAGATTATCTAGAACCATACAAAAACAATTCTGGGATTGTTCTAGAAATTATATCAGTTCTTGCTCTGAAGGAGGAACTGTTTTAGAATTTTGTGATTTGTTTTGACTTTTTTGGTTCCGAATTAGTTCGAACTTGTATTGGAACTTGGAACAGTTTTTTAGTCACCTGTCATAACAGTGAGGACGCCTATTACTATCTTTTCTTTGGTTACACTCAGAACTTGTTCGGAATCATAGTGCACATGCGCATGTTATGAAAAGCGTTTTTGTTTTTCCAGCAACGTAATGGAATTGTGTTAACAGCGTTCCAGATTTTTAAAAGCACATAAGAATAATTCTGGGATTGTTCCAGAACGGTTCTCCCAGTTCTTGCTCTGAAGAAGGAACTGTTTTGGTATTGGTTCAAAAATAATATTAGAACAGTTCATCATTAATTTTTGTACGCAAGCAGTTCTGCGCAATTTCAGAATTGTTCTAAATTTCAAACTATTTAGTTTCGAACCAGAACAAAGCTATAGTACTCTACGATATAATTTTGAAGTAGTTCCGTGTTGGTTCGAATTGTGATCTGCGAACAAAGCATTTGGTCATATGATTCGGAACTATTCGCATACTCTGGAACAGTTTTGAACTTTTTGTTACAGTTATTTGTTCGCAATTCTACTCGAATCGATTCTGAACAGTTCCGAATTATCATTTTCTGTTCCAAAATCGTTTAGAGTAAAATAAAAATCCTAATTTGATTCATAATCGGGTATGCGCTTTATAATAATCGCAAACTGGTTCCAAATTGGTTCGGATTGTGTTCCACGAACAAAGTTGATAGCATCTGCTTCGAGCACTCTATCTGTTCCGAACATTTGAACTGTTCCAAGCACTCTAACTTTGAACTAGTTCCGAATTGGTTCGAAATGTATGTTCACGAACAAAGTAATAGCTCCGTTTCCGATAAGAATTCGAAACTATTTTGCAGGCGCAGTACAATTTATGGCGTTCGTGAATTAAAAAATTCAGAATTTCCAGTAACAGTTCTTTGTTCGCAGTTCAACTAGAATCGGTTCTGAACAGTTCCGAATTATCGTTTTTTGTTCTAAAATCGTTTTGAGTAAAATTTAAAAATAATCTTCTCGAATTTCACAAATTTTGCACAAAGGTTTCGAGCACTTTATCTGTTCTGAGCACTAAAACTGTTCTGAGCACTTCAACTATTCTAAGTACTCTAATCTTGAACTAATTCGTTTGCGAATTTCGAGCACTTTATCCGTTCTGAGCACTCAAACTGTTCTAAGCACTCCAACTGTTCCAAGCACTCTAATCAGAACTACATAGTTCGGAATCACTTTGCACATGCGCTTGTTATAAAAAGCGTTTTAGTTTTTTCAGAATCCTTATCGAACCGTGTTGACAACGTTTCGGATTATATAGAACTATATAAGAACAACTCTGGAATTGTTCCAGAATGTTTCTCTCAGTTCTTGTTCTGAATTCAACTAGAATCGGATCCAAATCGATCTGAACAGATCAGAATTATCGTTTCCTGTTCCAAAATCGTTCGGAGTAAAATAAATATAATCTTCGCAAATTTTGCACAAAGGTTTCGAGCACTCTATCTGTTCTGAGCACTCAAACTGTTTTGAACACTCCAACTGTTCCAAGCACTCTAATCTTGAACTTATTCTGCATTGGTTCGAAGTGTGTGTTCCTCGAACAAAGTTAATAGCTCTGATTCGGTTTCACTCAGAACTAGTTCGGAATCATTCTGCACATGCGCATTTCATAAAAAGCGTGTTTCGGATTATCTAGAACTATATAAGATCAATTCTGGGATTGTTCTAGAATGATGTTCTCAGCTCTTGAACTGTTTTAAAATTTTGTGATTTGTTATGGGTTTTTTTGGTCCCAAATCGGTTCAGAACTTGTATTAAAACAGTTTTTTGTGTGCAAGGCAATCCTAGAACTATTCCGACTTCCGAACCAAAACAAAGTTATAGAGTAGAGTTATTGAACGCACCACCTCAAAATTCTGTCACCTGTCATTATGGTGAGGACGTCTACTATAAGTTTGTTTTGATTCTACTCTGAACTAGTTCGGAATCATTCTACACATACGCATGTTATGAAAAAAGTTTTCGATTTTTCAGAATCGTAATTGAATTATGTTAACAGCGTTTTTAATCTATTTAGAACCATAGCAGAACGACTCTGGGATTGTTCTTGCTCTGAAGGAGGAATTTTATGATTTATTTCCGCTTTTTTTGGTTCCCAATCGGTTCAGAACTAGAACTAGAATAGTCCTCCATTATTTTTTGCAGTTCTGCGCAATCTTAGAACCGTTCCTAATATCGAACCAGAACAAAGCTGTAGAAGAGTTATCAAGCGCACCCTATCAAAGTCTTGTCACTTGTCGTTATGGTGAGGACGCCTACTATGGCTACTTTTACTCAGAACTAGTTCGGAATCATTCTGCACATACACATGCCATAAAAAGTGATTTCGTTTTTTCAGATTCGTAGTGAAACTGTATTGACAGCGTTTTGGATTATTCAGAACTACATGAGAGCAATTCTGGGATTGTTCTAGAACGGTTCTCTCAGTTCTTGCTCTGAAGGAGGAACTGTTTTGAAATTTTGTGATTTGTTTTGGATTTTCGAGTGCAAGCCAATCCTAGAACCGTTCCGAACTTCGAACCAAAACAAAGTTATAGAGTAGAGTTATCGAACGGACTCTGTCACCTGTCATTATGTTGGGGTCGCCCAAGGATGATACACACCTACAGGAATGCTTATCGGTTTCGTTTTTGATAAATCGCCGTCATATTGGTGTGTCACCATTTCCGACGTCATGAACTGAATTTTTGTGACGAACTACTTCCATGATTTCATAGACACAAAACCTTGCGTGAGAAACTCATAATGTCATATTAACCATAGTTCGTTGGAAGTATGGACCCAACTTCAAGCCAGAGTTCAAACTCATGACGTCACAAAACGAACTATGGTTTTTCCTTGGATGAACTACATTCGTCGCGAAAATTCGGTTATAACTAAGTTGTCAGTTGTTTAAACAGTCTATGTCAAGGCGTGAAATATCATGCTGCCTACGTCACAACAGGTGATTTGGCGAGGGCGGGGGGAAACGATATTTGTTCCACACAGACCTTATGAGGATAGACTATCCTGTAGTAGTATTGTGTATCATCCTTAGAGGTCACCTACTATAGCCTTGTTTTGGTTTCACTCAGAGAACTAGTTCGGAATTATTCTGCACATGCGCATATGTTATAAAAAGCGTTTTCGTTTATCCAGAATCGTATTCAAATTGTGTTGACAGCGTTTCGGATTAATTAGAACTACATTTCTAGGATTGTTCTAGAACGGTTATCTCAGTTCTTGTTCTGAACGAAGAACTGTTCTGGAATTTTGTGATTTGCGATTTATTTTGGTTTTTTTGTTTTTGAATTGGTTCAAAACTAATAGGCAATTTTTTGCGAAGATAATCAAGCATAATTGATTATGCTGATGTGTCAATTGTGTCATACTTCTCTAACTCCCCCACCATCCAATTCTAGAGATACTCGAGGATCAAGAACACTTAATTTCTTCTGTAAGAACAGATTGAAAATCACTTTTTCTACATTTAAAATCGAGGAAAAAATTAACTCACTAGCACCGTCTGAATCGCGAGCATTCCATCAAGGTCTGCGTGTGACGTCATCATAGTAAGCTGCTGATAGTGACGTCAGTCGCAGACCCAAAATTTGATAGGGAGGGAGCTAGGGGAATATGACACATCCCATAACCCAGCATAATTGAGGGCCGAATTTATAGTCGTTCCTTGACTCTTCCTTGAAGGTTGTGAGATTAGAATGGACACTTGCTACAATTTGACAAGTTACAGTCATGTCAATTCTAAACGTTCAAGGCTTCCTTAAGGTCTGAGGAAGCCTCAAGGAGCGACTATAAATTCGGCACTAGATTATGCTTGAGTATCCTCGCAATTTTTTTTTTAATAGGGCAATCTAATTCATGTGGCGGTCATGGTCAAAGAATGAAACTGGCGCCAAGTGTATAAACAAAAAACATACACACACCACAGATGTATGACCGTTGTCGCCATATTGAATTTAATTTTGACAGGTCGTTGGATTGTCCTACTATTATCAAGTGAATATGAAAACTTCATTTAAAATTAAAACTCCCCGCCTAGAATAAGTAATAGGTTAGAGTTTGATTAAAAACCAGAAGAGAAAAACTGTAAAATTTGATTTTTGAACATTTTACAACATTTTATGACGTCATCCGAATGTCTATTAACAATTCATATCAACCACCTAATGACGTCATCACTAGACAACCTATTAACTTTAGGAACCTTGACATATTATGTGGAAAAGAATTATCGAACGCACTCTTCAAACTTTCAGTCAACTGTCATTATAGTAAGGCCGCCTACTATGATTACACAAATTCTTACCGCGTTTTTCAAATTCTCGACCATTTTCTGATAAAATTCCACCTCGCAAGGGCAAGTGAGACAAACGTCCATACTTTTAGGATCGTCTTTGTCGATACGCTTACGACAGTTGGGCATTTTGCAACCTTTCAGCTCTTTTTGGGCCAGATTCTTGTTCAATTCCGTATTCAATTCCATCATCTATAACCAAAATAATAATTGAATTTGACAAATTTCTACAAGAAATTCTTACAGTAGATTTCAAATCGCCAACAATTTTTCTGTAACGTTTAATTTCCAAGTCTTTTACCGCCTCCTTGCGGGTTAAATTGGAAATTTGAGATTGTAAGTTGTCGCATTCAATGCAAAGTCTGGCATTATTCTCATCGCTGTCCGTCAGCTTTTGCTTGTACTCGTCCAGAGTTTCGACCAGAGAATTTTGACTTTGTTGCACCAGTTTTTCGGTTTCGTGCAGCTGCCTTTGCACCGTTTGAAGTTGACGTTTTTCGTTGTTGTACGCCATTTCAAGTTTTAAGCTTTCAGCGGTTTTTTCTTCTAAACTTCGTTTTAGGTTTTCTAGTTTATCGCAGTAGGTGCCGATTTGCAGCTCAAACTGTTGACAGCTTCGCTTGCTCGCGCAGTTTTCTTCTTCGTACTGTTTCATGTCGCATTGTAAATTGTTAACGGTTTCGTTTAGGCATTTTACAGTTTTCTGTAAGTCTTCGTTGCTTCTTATTGAATCGTTTAGTGTTTTTTGGATGTTTGAGATTGTGTCATTGTGCTTTGACAGTTCAACTTCTTTGTTGTTGATCAGCAGCTGCAGTTCGGCAATTTTTGATTCGTGCAGCTGCTCTTTTTGCTCGGAAACGGACAATTTCGAGCACAATAATTCGTTTTGCGATTGAACTTCTTGGTAGGCTTTCATTATTTTTGCTGATTCTTGATGGGCGGTCTCGTTGGATAGGGTCTGAAACAATAGAGAAAAAATTGTAAAATTTCCTTATAAACTAGACAAAATTTTAATCAATAGAAAATCACTCTATACTTACTCTTTTTTCTACACTACATTATTGGCACTAAATTTTTTTTTAACGCGTCTTGCGCAATCCCCTTTTTTAAACAGCCTTGATCATGGACATGAAAATCTAATGCCACCTTGCATACTAATGACGTCATAAGAGTTATTACGCAATAGCCTTGATTATTGACATGATTGCGCATGGGTTAGTTAGATGTTTACACAACAAAAATCTTACCAAAACTTGCTGAAGATCTCCCAGTTGTTGGGCCATCATGCCCATTTCCTTTTTAAAGTGACCAATCACTTCTTCGTAACATTTTTTTTGTTTTGCTAATTTTTTCAATTGTTCCTAAAACAAAATCAACTTTATTTAAATTAGGGCCCGTTTATTCATCTTGTGATAAACTGTCAGGTATGCAAACTAACGGATGAAAACGCTATCTGTAATCCCATTGGTCGGCCAGTTATCCGCCGACCAATAGACTTATAGAACAATGAATTTATCTTGCAGATAGTTACCAGCAAGTTTATCTGAATATGAATAAACCGAACTTAAAACTTATAAATCTTAAGGCGTGTAAGCAAAGACAAAAATGACCTCTTTGAGTCGAAGCAAAAGCTTGATTTTGTTCATTTGATGTTCCATAGAGTCGACATCTTGGAGACTATCACAATGTTCCACTTCAAGGTTGAAATTCAAATTTTGCAATTTTTCATAGTCCTTGTGTAGATTTTCAGCCTGGAAATTTTTATTTTCATAATGGAAAATCGCATTCTACCATTTTACCATTTTCCTATAAAATTCACTTTCATCTTCAATGTCTTCCATCAACATTTGATTGGTTGCTACCTGAAATCCTTGAATTTTTATTTGAAAAAAAAAAAAAAACAAATTTAGTTAATAAAGTAGCGTATATTAATAAAAATACAATAAATAGTTAATAAATACAAAAATGCAACAGGTTACATGCAGTCGAGTTTTTGAACGCACCCTCTTGAAGTCCTGTCATATGTCATAATATGATTAGGAGAACGCCTACAAACCTTGCGTTCGGTATTTTGCTCAAAGAGCAGAGCGTGCTGAGCGGAGCCGTAATCACGTTACCAGTGAGCGAACAAAGCAGTTGAACGCTGTATAAAAGTGCCAGAAATTTTAATAAATGAACGCGAATGAGGCTGCACCGAGTACACTTTTTAAATAAACGAACGGTAAAGTCAAGCTCGGAGAACTCGGACCAAAATAACGAACGCACGGTATGTAGATGACATCAACTATGTTATCGAACGCACCCTTATTTTAATGCTTTTCAAAAACTAAATTAAGTACAATAGAGTAGATTATCGAACGCAGCCCCTTATAGTCCTGTCATTTGTCATATGGTTAGGACGCCTACTATGAACACTCCTCAAGTCCAAATATGATTGCTTAACCTATTAAGGCTTACGTTTGCAGGTGACGTCACCATTATCAGAAGCTAATAGTGGTGACGTTACCCACAGACTTGGATTGGTTGCAATTCAGGACAGGCTTTACTTGCCGAGTTAATTTTTTCGTCGTTTTTAAATTTAGAAAAGGTGATTTTATCGTTGAAAAATCCCTTTTTTTTTGCCTATAGTGTGTCAAACTTACGCCAAGAGTCAAGGTCTGCGGCTGACGTCACAAATAGTGAGGAATTTGTCGCGTGGACAAGGTAGAAACTTTCAGCTCAAAAACAGTTCTATTTAGTTGAGTGTTTTGCAATAGAGTAGAGTTATCGAATGCACCCCCATAAAGTCCTGTCACTTGTCATATGGTAAGAATGCGTACTATGTAAGATGGAACTCAAGAACCAAATAGGATTGCTGAATCTAAACTTCTCGAGTCGGCTGCGCGTCTGCGGGTAACGTTACCATTATCAGCGGCTGATAGTGATGACGTCACCCGCAGACCTCGATGGATTGCATGCGTTTCAAGGTTAATTTTTGCGTCGCTTTCAAATGTAGAAAAGGAGATTTCAACCTCAAGGAATTAGGTTTTTTGACCTACAGGGTTTTGAATTCGGATAATGCATTTTAAAGCAAAAGTTGAGGTCTGTGGCTGACGTCACAAAAAAGTGAAGAGATATTGCAAAAAATGGTAGGCACTTTTAGCTCGATAAGCTGTCCTATTGGTTAAGTGTTCTTGATATAGAATAGAGTTATCGAACGCACCCCCTTAAATCTTGTCACTTGTCATATGGTTAAGACGCCTACTATGAACACTCTTCCAGTCCAAATAGGATTGCTCAACCTAATAAGGCGTACCATCGTTACCAAAAGTATTTGGGACAAAAATAATTCATATTAATCTCCTGGACTAATTCTACTGTTTCAATGCATTTAATTCATAGTTTGACAAATATTTGACACTAAATATATAATAGTATAAGAACTAATATAATGCTTTCCCAGTTACTTTTGATGACGATTGCACGTTCGCCAGTTATCGAGTCAGCAATGGGGCTGCAGGTGACGTCACTATTATCAGAAGCTGATAGTGGTGACGTTACCCGCAGACCTACTTGCGATTCAAACTGTGCTTGTGAGTTAATTCTTTCGTCGATTTCAAATATAGAAAAGGAGATTTTAACGTTTAGGAATTCATTTTCTTGACCTACAGTGTTTTAAACTTGGATAATGCATTCTACGCCAAAAATTGAGTTCTGCGGCTGACGTCACTAAAAGTGAAGAGTTGTAACATGGATATGGCAGACGCTTTCAGCTCGATGAGTAATCCCATTTGAAAAAGTGTTCTTGACATAGAGTACAGTTATCGAACCCCTTTAAAGTTCTGTCACTTGTCATATGGTGAGGACGCCTACTATGAAGGTGGACACTCTACCAAATAGAATTGCTTATCCTAATAGGGCATACATTTCGAGTTGGCAGGTGACGATAACATTATTAGAAGCTGATACTGGTGACGTCACTCGCAGACCTCGATGGACTGTGCTTCTGAGTTGATTTTTGAAGTGAAACTTCTTAGGCGGCAGTCTGATATTCGGACGAGAATGGAAAGTAATTTGAAAGACGCGTCACGTTTTGGCAAATTTCGTTACACGAGAGAGAAGAAAAATATAACGTAGAGGGACGGAGAAAGACAGCAAACTCTAATAATGCTCGGAGCGGTTACATTACTTAGAACAGATAAGGTGCTCGGAGCAATTAGAGTGCTCAAAACAGATGCAATGCTGTGCTTGTACCACTAATTCTAAAAAATTCCAAACAATGCCAAGGAATTCCAATCTATTTTGGAATTAGTGGTACAAGCACGAGCATTGTATCTGTTTCGAGCAGTCTAACTGTTCCGTATGTAAGATTCCAAAAAATTTCAAAATATTCCAAAAATTGGAATGTTTTGGAATTAGTGGTACAAGCACAAGCACGGTATCTGTTTCGAACACTCTAACTGTTCCATATGTAAGATACCAAAAAATGCCAAAAAATTCCAAAATCTTCCAAAAAATTCCAAAAAATTCTAAAAAATTCTAAAAAATGCTAAGGAATTCCAAAAAATACCATTTTGGAATTAGTGGTAGAAGCACGAGCACTAATATCTGTTTCGAGCACTTTAGCTGTTCTCTATGCAAGATTCCAAAAAATTACAAGAAATTTTAAAAAATGCTAAGGAATTCGAAAAAATTTCATTTTGGAATTAGTGGGACAAGCACGAACACTGTATCTGTTCCGAGTACTCTAAGTGTTCCGTATACCAAAAAATACCAAAAAATTACAGAAAATTCCAAAAAATTCCAAAAAATTCCAAAAATTCTAAAAAATTCCAAAAAATGCCAAGGAATTCTAGAAAAAGCCAAGGAATTTTAAAAAATTCCATTCTATGTATCTATCTGTTTCGAGCACTCAAACTGTTACGAATTTTAAAAAATTCTAAAAATTTTCAAAAAATTCTTAGGAATTCTAAAAAAACTCCATTTTGGAATTTTTTAGTCTTTTATCGTCAATTTCAAATTCAGAAAAACGTTGAAAAGTTCGCAAATAGTGAGGAGTTGTCGTATGAGCATGGCAGACATTTTCACTCAATAAGCATTCTTATTTGGTGTTCTTGATGTCTATAGTAGTGTTATCGAACGCACTCCCTCAAAGTTCTGTTGCCTGTCATATGAGGCGTTTTCTCGCGTCAACTTTTTTGAAACTGGTTCAAACCTGTGCGATGAACCTATGACGTCACGTCAAAATTGGTTCAAACCATTTTCTCGCGCCAGGAAATTATGACGTCATGGTGACATTACTTAAAACAGTTTTGAAACATTTGAGACGCGAGAAAACGCCTATAATGATGAGGACGCCTACTATGAAGTTGAAAGTTGAAACACAAACAAACCCCACCAAATAGAATTGCTCATCTCGAGTCGGCAGCGGGTCTGCGGTTGACATTATCATTATCAGAAGCTGATAGCGTTGACGTCACCCGCAGACCTCGTCGATTTTAAATTTAGGAAAGGTAATTTTGAAGTTGAAGAATTTGTTTTTTTTCACCTATAGGGCCGGTTTCTCAATAGCAAGTCATCTCCGGGTTAAGCTAACTCCAGGGTAAACATTGAAGTTGAGGATTGCGGCTGATGTTACAAATAGTGACGAGTTGTCGCGTAGACATGAAAGACACTTTTAGCTCAATAAGAATAATAATTGGTTAGGGGCAAAATTTATAGACGTTTCAAGATGCGTCCTCGAAGGTTGTTTGTTTAGAATGGACACTTGTTACTATTTAATAAGTTTATCAAGTCAATTCTAAACGTCCAAGTCTTCGTTGAAATCCGAGGAGCGACTATAAATTTGGCACTCATAGAGTAGTGTCATCAAACGCACCTCCTCAAAGTTCTGTCACCTGTCATATGGTAAGGACGCCTACTATGTAGGTAACACATAAAAATAAACCTTTTGTTTTTTAATAATAAAATCTAAAAATTGGTTCTAAAGCCTCTCAGATTTCCCTGAAAAAATAGCAAAATGATGTTGCCACCAATTAACCATGTTATCGAACGCAGCCCTATTTTGACAAAGATGACAGTTGTTGGCGCGAAAAAAATTATTTTAAATATTCATATTTTCTTTTGGTGAAAAATTATTAGTTTAAAATTTATAAATAAATTAATTCAATCAATGAAACTTGTGTTTTAGTCCAAAATCAAAATCTAAAAATGTCTTTATCTCTATAGAACATCAGCGGTGTCAGATTGATCACTTTAAAATCTGACACCACTGTTTTACACACTTCAAACGTCATGCACAGGCACGTCACTATTATTCAATGCTACGTCATTATTACTATTAAATCCGAACCATGCGCTCCACGAACTCACGTGCTCCTCGTTCTTTTTACGCAAACTGTCAATGTCAGTTTTGGCATCAACGAGCGCCCATTGCAAGTTGCCAATTGTCACTTTTTGATTGTCAATCTGGAATGTTTTTTTTTTTTTTTTTTTGACATAGTAAGGCTATAATTGTCAACTTATACTCACTTGACATTTTGCTTCGTTTCGGCTTTGTTCCAATACGCTGATCGAGTTGGAATAAAGGGCGACCTAATGAGGCAAATGAAAGCAAAAGCGAGACAAAAAAAATGCATTTTTTTTTTTTTTTTAATTCTATAGACTTACGGCTTCTTGTAAATTGGCTGCACGTTCCTCGCAAGTGCATAAAGCCTCCGTTAATTCACTTATTTTGGTTTTCAACAACTCAATTTCGCGATTTCTTTTGTCAATTTCGCTTGTCATTTTTGTTTTGGTGTCATTTATAATCTGGAAAAAAGTGACATTGTTGACATTAGAAATATTTGTCATATAGTAGGCGTCGTAGAGTAGAGTTATCGAACGCAACCTCCACCTATCATTTGTCACTTATGATTAGGCAATCCCCAATCCAAACCAAGTGACATTCAAGATGGCGTGGCGGCCACACATGCACCAGAAAACACAAAAAGATATCTAGTTTCTGTACGACTCAATAGTTTACGTGCCCAGTAAACAAATATTTTATTGAATAATCAAAATCAAAGCTGAAAGCAAAATAATCGAAATACGTATGAAAACACATATTCAAAACTAATTTGCTGGTCGCCACGCCATATTGAATTTTTCTTTTTGACAGATATATTGGATTGTCTAGTTAAGATGCCTACTATGCAGATAAGACATAACCTCTCAGATTTCTCCTAAAAGAGCAAAATGATTTTGACATCAAAAACCAAGTTATCGAACGCACTTCTATTTTGACACAAATAAGTAGTAGGCAAAAAACATCAGTAATTGGCGCGTAAAAAATTATTTTAAATTTCTATATATTTCTTTTGCTAATAATGCGAAGAATTTTAATTAAAAAAAATCAAAAAATTACCTTAAATTCACTGACTCTATGTATACAGCACTATTCTACAATGTACAATTTACCTTTACTAAGCCCGAATCGTTATTGTCCAAGTTCACTTGAATCTGGAACAGAAGGAAAAATACTAAATTTAGATTTCTTTCGCCCGTTTAAAAATAACTTGTCGGTACGCAGAGAGAGGATGCAAGTTTTCTGACTTATTTTTAGAATAGAATAAACTGCATCCGAATTATATTTATTTTACCTCGGAACTTTCCAGGAATCCAACTTTCGATTTTCCTCGGCATATTTTACAAATCTGCAATGTATAGAAAATTGTTTTAAGTTATGACTTCAAAACATATATTTTTAAACATTACTTTCAAGTCTTTTTCGTGATTTTCCTTGGAAATTTGTATTTGCTGCTGCAAGCTGACAACAGTGTTGTTGAGCGATTCGATTTCGTCTTGATGAGCCTTGGAAAAACAAAAACTAGAAATTTAGCATAAGAAGATTTATAGCGAATTCTTTTTAAAGAGTTTATTCGTGTCTTTTTTTATTAGTTTGTATAAGAAAGAGATAAAAATACATTGTTAATTATGAGTTTTCATTTACCTGTTCTTCTTCCTCTTGCACAATTTTTGTTTTTTCCAAGGTGCTTCTCAGTTCTCCAATGGTTACGTTCATTTTGCTTATTTCTTCGTTGGTGAACTATTAAAAAGAATACAAAAATAAACACATAAAAACGAGAGAGATAGAAATATATCATTGCAGTGCTCCAAAATACAAAAAGCCAATGCAATGAATATTTCCATCTCTTTTTGTTGCTTTAAGGGAAAAAGGAAAATTTGGAATCTTACATTACTGGTATACTCGCTCCGATCCCTCAAAACACTAATACTATACGATAAACTATAGTTTTCTTTGTTCAACGACGCGATTTCTTCTATCGACTTGCGATTTTCTTCTTTATATTTTCGCAATTTTTCTCTGTAGCTCGACTATACTAGGAAACGATTATTTTTTACCCGGTAAAATGCACTTTACCGCACATTTATTAAGTAAAATTATTACCGATTCATTAATTGCCAATTCCAACTGTGATTTGGTTTTTTCGATTTCGTTTTCTAATTGTTTCTTAAACAAAAATTATTTAATATTTTTTTCAAAATTTTAAATTCTTACATTTTTCTCTTTCAAGTTTGCGCACTTGCACATAATGTCTTCTTTTTCTTTGCAAAGTATTTTAGTCTTTTTTTCGAAACTTTTGTTGCGTTTTCTTAGTTCTACTCTTTCTTTCATCTACAATTGTCAATGTCAAACAAAAACAAAAATGACATTTTAAAAACACTTACAAAAGTCTCAAATTGTCTGTCCAATTGTTCAATGTGACTTTTGTCTGTCAACAATGTTTGTTTCAGACAGCAATTTTCTGTTTCAAATTTTTCTAACTGAAATATTTCATTTATTTTATTAATTTATTAATTATTTTTTTGGACAAACATCTACCTTCTCCTCGGTTACAATTGTTGTCTAAAAGAAAAAGAAAAAGTTTAATTTATTTAAACAATTATTTTTGTATTAAATCAAAGATTTATTTTTGGCAAACAACATTTTGTAATAAAATTTTAGCGCGGTTTAAAGTGTCTTGAAATTGCCGTACGTCCCGGTCAGTCACTAAAACTCGTTTCATATTTGTCTAGAAAATAATTTTTATTAATCAAAAATGTTAAATAATAAAGCTTGAATAATTTAAATTTTCCGCCGTTTTTTTTTTTTACAAAAAGAACATTTCTTCTTTTTTCTGTCAATTAATTTGACGTATTCAATATGACGCCATTGGGGCTTTACGATTACAGTGACTCTTTTACATACAACAATAGACGAAAATTTTGTAACAACATGGCCGCCGCTTGTACAAACCAAATGAATGGCAGCCATGTTGTTGCAAAATTTTCGTTAATTATCGCCACTGTTTAAGTTTATCGAGTCACTGTATTTCCGGTTATCAAACGCCATATTTGAATAAATCAATCGTCAAATCGCCCTTATTTTAGGCGGCAAATTTAAATTATTTTCGAATGAAAATCAATTTACTACTGATAAAGCGCGTTCTTCCAACAATTGCAATTTCCGATCGATAATAAACAATTTCGTGATTAAAATTTCGATTAAATTTAATTGTTCCAACAATAAATCGTCTTTATTTTGTATTAATTTAGCCATTTGATTGGTTTTGAGGGCATTGTTGCCATTGTTGCTCGTAAATTTGTCCTATATGGATAAAAACTCGTTTAATTTCATTGATTATTTTTCTTGATTGATTCCACTTACCGGATTCTTATTTTTGTGTTTTTCGAAGTAATTTTCTATTTGATTGGCAACTAAATTTAGGTACTTATCAGTCATCTAAAAGAATTACTACTTTTTACGTAATTTCTTCTGATTAAATGAATTACTATAATTAGTAGGTATACAGGGTGGTCCAATATTTGGACTTTTTTAATAGGATGCAATACAAAAAAATGAGAACCTCCCACCGCACTTTGAGGCTCAAATTTTATTAGTGCAAATCGCATATTGTATTGCGACATCTTCAATCGCATTTCACCGCTAGAGGGCGTTTCTCAATTTTAACCAATATTTTTTGTTCATTCTAGAAGCACTTTTCTAAGCAGAATTCAGTGACGCTCTCAGTTTTTCTATTTGTCCCCGATTTCGAGATATTGACCAAAGTCCTATTTTTTTAATAGGATACCCTATACAAGATTACAGGATGACACAAGAACAAAAAATACTATAGGATAGAGGAAGAAAAAATAGATCGAAAAAGCCTCTTGGCAATTTTAGCTACGACGCTTCCTAAGACAAGAAAAAAATAAATTAAAAAATTTGAAATTTGGGAAGCTTTTAAATAAGGGAACTTGTTGCCATGTTTAAAAATATTTAAGTCAAAAAGTAGAGGCCATATTTGATAATTTCAATTAGGCAACACTGTTGTTCTTTTGTCAAATTTTCAAGTAAAAGCATTCCTGATAGAATGTCTTTCTAATTCACTATTTCTTTTCTATTGGTTATGCCTAGGGTTCCTAAAGTTAACAGGTTGTCTGGTAATGACACATCTGGAATGCCTTATGGAGATGACGTCATAAAAATTATCAGGCAACCTACCTCTTTCAAACAACTTTGGGTTATGCCCAGGGTTGTCAGACGTCCCACCTTAGGAAGGACAGTCCCGCATTTTGTTAATCGGTCTCGTCTTTTTTTTATTAATTTCAGGTCCCGCTTTTCACGTGAATTGTCCCGGTTTTCCCGCTTTTTCCACCCAAACTTGACATTTAGTGCAAAAAACGCTCATTTTACAACTTGTTACATAAATAACTACTTAGGTATTTCTACATTTAAAATCGACGGGAAAGTCAAATAACGAGCCTGAATCACAAGCAATTCATCGAGGTCTGCGGGTGACGTCACCACCATTAGCTGCTGACATGGTGACGTCACCGGCAGACCATGTGGCAAAAACCATATTATAACATGGTCATAGAAAAAGTATAATGTTTCACACGTCAAAAATCATTTTTTGCAACTTGAAAACATTATTAAACTCGGCTTCGCCTCTTTTGATGCTGTTTTCGTCACTCGTTAAACAATATAATGTGCGACAAGTGAGTGAACCGTGGTAACGTATGAAGTAGCAGAGAGGAAGACGAAAATCTATACTATACGGAAGGGGACACATTGGGCACTTTCCCTTCCTCTCCTCTCATGCCTTTAGGACTCTGGATAAGATAAGAACAGTCCCGCTTTTTCATTTCATAGATCTGGCAACCCTGGTTATGCCTCCGTTTGTCTTTATCACTCTTGTACGTTTTCCAATGTTGCTATGTTTAAAATAAATATTCAAGAAAAATAATAGTAGAGGCCATTGTAACATTCTCCCTGATGTTTACTGAATGTCAAGTTGTTGGAAAAGAGAGTGACTGGCAACATGGTAACGCGTTTTGGTGGCGAGGTAACTTGACGTTTGAAGTTGACAGGCTTTTTTGAAAAAGAATTAATGCAAAGAAAATGTATTTCGATCTTTTTCTTTTACAGGCTGAGAGAAGGAGACGGAAATACACGTAGTGCACATTAAATCTTCAAAACGGAAACTCCATTAGATGCCTATTTGAGAAAAAAAAAAATAATAGGCAACACTGTTTTGTCAAAAGTTCGTAATTCTGATAGAATGTTTTTTTAATTGTCTGTCTCTTTTTCACTTGGTTAATGCCTCCGTTTGTCTTTATCATTCTTGTACGTTTTCCAATGTTGCTATGTTTAAAATAAATATTCAAGAAAAATAATAGTAGAGGCCACTGTAACATTCCTCCTGATGTTTACTGAATGTCAAGTTGTTGGAAAAGAGAGTGGTTGGCAACATGGTAACGCGTTTTGGTGGCGAGGTAAGTTGACAGGATTTTTTGAAAAAGAATTAATGCAAAAAAAATGTATTTCGATCTTTTTCTTTTACAGGCTGAGAGAAGGAGACGGAAATACACATAGTGCACATTAAATCTTCAAAACGGAAACTCCATTAGATGCCTATTTGAGAAAAAAAATAATAGGCAACACTGTTTTGTCAAAAGTTCGTAATTCTGATAGAATGTTTTTTTAATTGTCTGTCTCTTTTTCACTTGGTTAATGCCTCCGTTTGTCTTTATCACTCTTGTACGTTTTCCAATGTTGCTATGTTTAAAATAAATATTCAAGAAAAATAATAGTAGAGGCCATTGTAACATTCTCCCTGCTGTTTACTGAATGTCAAGTTGATGGAAAAGAGAGTGACTGGCAACATGGTAACGCGTTTTGGTGGCGAGGTAACTTGACGTTTGAAGTTGACAGGCTTTTTTGAAAAAGAATTAATGCAAAGAAAATGTATTTCGATCTTTTTCTTTTACAGGCTGAGAGAAGGAGACGGAAATACACGTAGTGCACATTAAATCTTCAAAACGGAAACTCCATTAGATGCCTATTTGAGAAAAAAAAAAAAATAGGCAACACTGTTTTGTCAAAAGTTCGTAATTCTGATAGAATGTTTTTTTAATTGTGTGTCTCTTTTTCACTTGGTTAATGCCTCCGTTTGTCTTTATCACTCTTGTACGTTTTCCAATGTTGCTATGTTTAAAATAAATATTCAAGAAAAATAATAGTAGAGGCCATTGTAACATTCTCCCTGCTGTTTACTGAATGTCAAGTTGATGGAAAAGAGAGTGACTGGCAACATGGTAACGCGTTTTGGTGGCGAGGTAACTTGACGTTTGAAGTTGACAGGCTTTTTTGAAAAAGAATTAATGCAAAGAAAATGTATTTCGATCTTTTTCTTTTACAGGCTGAGAGAAGGAGACGGAAATACACATAGTGCACATTAAATCTTCAAAACGGAAACTCCATTAGATGCCTATTTGAGAAAAAAAATAATAGGCAACACTGTTTTGTCAAAAGTTCGTAATTCTGATAGAATGTTTTTTTAATTGTCTGTCTCTTTTTCACTTGGTTAATGCCTCCGTTTGTCTTTATCATTCTTGTACGTTTTCCAATGTTGCTATGTTTAAAATAAATATTCAAGAAAAATAATAGTAGAGGCCATTGTAACATTCTCCCTGATGTTTACTGAATGTCAAGTTGTTGGAAAAGAGAGTGGCTGGCAACATGGTAACGCGTTTTGGTGGCGAGGTAACTTGACGTTTGAAGTTGACAGGCTTTTTTGAAAAAGAATTAATGCGAAAAAAATGTATTTCGATCTTTTTCTTTCACAGGCTGAGAGAAGGAGACGGAAATACACGTAGTGCACATTAAATCTTCAAAACGGAAACTCCATTAGATGCCTATTTGAGAAAAAAAATAATAGGCAACACTGTTTTGTCAAAAGTTCTTAATTCTGATAGAATGTTTTTTTAATTGTCTGTCTCTTTTTCACTTGGTTAATGCCTCCGTTTGTCTTTATCATTCTTCTACGTTTTCCAATGTTGCTATGTTTAAAATAAATATTCAAGAAAAATAATAGTAGAGGCCACTGTAACATTCCTCCTGATGTTTACTGAATGTCAAGTTGTTGGAAAAGAGAGTGGCTGGCAACATGGTAACGCGTTTTGGTGGCGAGGTAACTTGATGTTTGAAGTTGACAGGATTTTTTGAAAAAGAATTAATGCAAAGAAAATGTATTTCAATCTTTTTCTTTCACAGGCTGAGAGAAGGAGACGGAAATACACGTAGTGCACATTAAATCTTCAAAACGGAAACTCCATTAGATGCCTATTTGAGAAAAAAAATAATAGGCAACACTGTTTTGTCAAAAGTTCTTAATTCTGATAGAATGTTTTTTTAATTGTCTGTCTCTTTTTCACTTGGTTAATGCCTCCGTTTGTCTTTATCATTCTTCTACGTTTTCCAATGTTGCTATGTTTAAAATAA